GCTAGAGTGAAGCAGCCCATCACAGACACAGAAATTGGTGCGGTGGCCCTGTGGCTAAGGTTCTGCACCTGCAGCTGGAAGGTTGCTGGTTTGTATCCCGCGGCTGGCAGAGCAAAGCCCTTAACCCCAACTGCTCTAGGGGTGCCATATAAATGGCTGACCCTGTGCTCTGACCCCTGGCTTCCCCAAGGGAGCAAGTTGGGTTATGTGAAAAGACAAATTCCTAATACAATAAATTGTATATGGCCAATATAGTGATCTTATCTTAATAGGGGAATAGCAATATGACCACTAAAAGTCTAAAGGAAGGCCCTGCAGAGCTTTGCAAAAGTACTCAGCCCCTTCTAGTGATGTCCCATTTTGTTGAATTACAAATTGAATGAAAAATTGTAATCAGAACTTGAGTGTTCAAAATCAACACATTTATGGGTGAAAGAAAGTCTGATAAAACTGCAAAAAAAAATCAAAATTTAAGTATGTAGTTGGCTTATATCCCTTTGCTATGGCAAACCTTACTTAATAAGCTCAAGTGCACAAAATAATTTCAAGTCCCACAATGAATGACTTCTGTCTGTGTGTAAGCCACTGTATTTATAAAGTTAAGTCTTCGACTCTTGTAACTGTTAGAAATATCAATATAAAAGGAAATAATGTTACAAACCTAAAAGGATGAATAGCTGGAAAAAAAATAAAACAGATGAAAAGCAGTTACAATAGTTAGCAGATGATCACTTTTGGAAATAAAACACACTCATTTCAAGTACAGAAAATAAAACACAATATTAGGAGCAGTTAATGAAAGTAGCCTCTTGAGCCAGGCATCTTGTACAACCCTCTTGTCAATCCTGATTTATTAAAGGATCTTGGGATTTAACTACAAGGCTGGGCCATTTGTTCCAGTCTCCGCCAAGTCCTGGTGTAAAAAAAAATACTTCCTAATTACAATTTAAAACACACTTTCTCTTAATTCCCACCTGTTTTTTGGGGACCTAGCTTCAGCATTGATCTTAAAGCTGTTTTTCAGGTTAGCTTTGTCAATATGTTTACAGATTTTAAAGACTTCTATCAAGTAACCCCATAGTCTGGGGATGCTCTTCTCTTGACTAATTACTGTATGTAGCAGCAAAACCTTTCCTTTAACAATAGTGTGCTAATATTCTAAATCAAGTGTTACAAGAGCATTGTACAACATATCCTCTTTTGATTTGAATTCTGCACTACAGAAGGTTTTTAGCCTTTTCATTGTTTCCTCATTTTATCTGTATAGAATAAGGAAATGCTGTCAACATAACTACCTAAGCCTTTTTCCACAAATAACAACACCCAAAAAATAAATGCATTGAAACTGTTTATTAGGTGCTTAGCTATAGTGATATTTAGTTTTGACCCACTTGACTGACAGCCAGCCCTCATGTGGCACAAGGACCACCATGCAGAGTGAGACATTAACCAAGGGGTGGCTGCAAAAGTGGAGATAAGGTGGAGAAGGGATTTGAAAGACTAATGCAAAGGAAGAAAGGCTTATGTGTGGTATTTATTTTGGCAATGATGTCAGGAATGATTACTGGTTAGGACAGAGGAGGTGAGGGTGCACTTGGCTGCTCTTATCTTTCCCAAGCCTTCATTGTAAACTCTCTTAATAAGTAGTTTCTTAACTAACTTAACGCTTCCTATTTTTGTAGTCTGTGTTTTGTTATCTACATGTTTGTTATCTACTCTGTATTCAGTATTAAATGTCAGTTACCTGGTATGGTGCTAAGCGAATTTATCATTGAGTTTTGAAATCTGAAGGCTCACCTCTACAAAGATTGAACGGGAAGAAATCTTCAAGATTTTTATCAAGACTTGATAAATGCCATAGCCTATCTAGAAGAATTTTGTCTTGGTGGCAGATTAGTGGGCAAATGCATAGTGGACAGATGGGCAAAGATCACTGATATCAACAGAGACTATGGAAAATTGTATTATGTCTAGAACCACATAAAGCACTTAATTTTCCTGACTCAGTACTGAGCACCACAATGTACCAATTTGCTTTGTCCAGTTTTTGCTGGAATGTCTTTGTGCCCAGGCATGGCATGTTGCCCTCTGCCAATTATTTAGTGTATAGTGGTTTTCTAATGCCTTAATTCAGAATCCTCCATCATACTTGATAGGAATTGTTCTGGTAGTGCTCAGGTGTTTCTACAGTGGTTTGGGATGTAGGACAATGCATTGAGATGCATCATTCAGATATATCCATCCTGGCAACTGTTGATTGTTTATTGGAGCACATCAAAGGATCTGGACATTGACATGCCTTTTCTCATGATCTCAATGGTTGTTTTCATTTGAATCTTGTGGATACCCACATTTTAAGGCTCAAGAGCATAGTAACACATGAATATTGCCAGTATCACATCTATATTTGCATGTTTGCTAGCCATTCTACCAAATATACATCCACAAGTAACCAAGAAGAATATTTCATCCATCCATCTGTCCATTTTCTGACCACTACTTCTATCTCAGGATCACTGGGAACCTGGAGCCCATCCCGGTAAGCAATGAGTATAAGGCGGTGTACACCCTGGATGAAACACCAGTCCATCTCAGGGCAAACACACAGACACACACACAAGCCTGGGGGTCAATTTTCCCAGATGCCAATTAACTTATAATTATAATTATAATATATTTAGCCTAATCCATAGTCATATCATATATTGTGGCTGCAATAGTGTTAGATCTTGAACCCCTCCAGTTTGTCTACCATCCTGGGCAAACACATGGGCCCATTGTGGACGAATTCATCAGCTGGTGTGATATTTCCTACCTTGAGATTAAGTTGTCATAAAACAAAAGAAATTACTGTTGATTTTTTTAAAAAAAGCAATATTATTCCCACGACGATCCATGCTGAGCCTATTGGTATAGTTCATAGTTCAAAAACCTGGGCAATGTGTTTGATAATAAGCTTAAGATCACAGAGAACACTAATGTTATTGTGAAGAAATCCCAGCAGCACTTACTGTACATGGTTTGAGTTCCTGTGGAATCAAAAAAATAATTCTCTCCACATTTTATAGCTCTTGTACTGAACATATTTTCTTTATTCTATTGGTTCACATCACTCAGCCAAAACGACAAAAAACTGCCTTCGAAATGTTGTGAACCTCAATTCTAATATCACTGGTGAACTTTTGAGACCCCTGGCGCAGCTGTGTCCCCAGTATATCCTGAGGAAGGCCTGTGCCATCATTAAACATCTCATATTCTTCATCAGTCTTTTGAAGACTTTTATCTTTATGAAGTCATATCTTTATGACGTTTTCACTGTCCACAGTGCAAGACAAATAGAAAGAAAATTAAGCCTTGTTCCAGAGGCAATCATCTATTGGATAGAGCCACTCTTAATCAAATATATATGTTCTTTAATACTTTTTAAAAATCTAATGTGCTAATTATTCTATTTTGTAGTGTAGGACAGAGTCTTTACAATACACATGCACTTTGTGACTTTCATTATAATTTTTGGGATGTTCTGCTGTTTTCGGTTTTGTTTATTTTAAGTTTTTCTTCAGAAATGTTGTGATGCCATGTTTTTAACCAGATTTATTTGGAATGTGTTGGTTGTTGCATGACTTGCTTCTTACATTGCCCCCTTGGGCAGGGATAAAGTATTTTGAATTGAAAGATTTTTGGGAGTGTGCAGGGAAAACGGAGAACCCGGAGAAAACCTCTGGGAACACAGGGAGAACACACAAACAGCTTGCAGATAGTACCACAGGCCAGAATTGAACTGAGGGTCCTAGCACTGCAAGGCAGCAATGCTGACCACTGAAGATTGTTTCATGTTTGATTTATTGGTTGTTCAAAAACTAAGCGAACGAAAATGATTTATCTTGACGCCTTGCGAATAGATATTTCTAGGCAAATACTGGAACCGAAATCACTTGTTACATTTTCAATGCCTCTCAGTATATTTTGATGCACCTTTGTAATTGATAGTGGCATCAGGCAGTGATGAGGACACACCCCCAGGACTAAGGAATGATGTTGAAGTTCAGGTGGGTAGCTGCGTCAGCATGCGTAGGCTGCAAATGAACAAGTAATAGGTTTATTCCATGCTGAAAAAAGAAGAAAGAGAACACAACGTTTCGGCCATGGAGCCTTCTTCAGGTGTGAGGAATGATGTTGTCAGCCTTAGCAGGGAAACTACAGGGGGTGCCAGAGGGCCTTTTGTGTGCCATGAACTGAGGTGCTGTGTAAATGGATATTATCTTACTGTATCAATAAGAGTAGTTCAGGGAACAGCACCATAAAGGCTTAGCCTGCACACGGCAAAGTTAGGAAGAGGTCACCCGTGCTGAGCTCTACCTCTTTGTTCACTTGGCAATATCTATTCTTAGGTCTATACCTGCAGGGCAAATGGGGAACCTGTCTTGATTAAGGGCTGAGGAGACTGGACACACTAATAAAGTGGCATTTCTAACAAACATTTAAGTGGTTTGTGAATTAGTTCTGGTGTTTTTTTAATGCCAAAAAACAAACATTGTTTGGCTGTGGAAGATTTTTCCAGTCTAAAAGAGTAAGTAATGGTCTGTGGGGTTAAAAAAAAATCCAGATCAGTTTTATTTTAATTTAATTCTATACAGTGTTATTTAATGTAATATACTTAAAATAACCTATCCTGCATGTTATAACGAAGTATTGAAGTAATCAATTTATATAAATATATATAAAAGCATATATAGACAGAATTTAAGTTATTTTTTATTCAATTGCTTTATGAGGTTAACTCACTCTTTCTTAACTTATTGGTTAATGTTCTGCTGGACAGATTGATTCTTATTTCGCTTAGTTCATGGAGCAAAAAAAAAACACCACCTAAGTAAGATTGATGACGCAATGTTCTAGTAAAATTAACCCCCTCACTGCAGAGACTCGAGCCGAACTCCACTCCAGTTTTTACTGATCTCTTATCCTCTTTCCAGCAACGTTTTCTTTTCTTCTTTTTTCACTCAAAGAAGACCTCCAGACCTCAGGCGAGACAAGTAGCTGAACAAAAAGTGTGCTACTCCACGAATTTCATTTTCTAGTTTCGCACGTTTTCTTCTTCTGAAGAACTGCGGATAGCTAACAGTAAGTGTAAAATACCATTTTCAATTATCTTCTTCTCTACGTTTTATTTTCGGATAATTTACAATCTTAATAAGTTTTACATTTCTTTTTCTTTTTGGGATATTTAAAGTGAAAAGGAGATAAACTTGGTTTTGATTATTTTTCTATTTCGAAGAAACGCGTTTTTAGGACGTTGAACTTGGTACGTATGAAAACATGTGCAATTTAACTTGTTTCATTTTCTTTTTATCTGTCACACTCTGCCGAGTGGCACGTACACCACATCAGCGCTGAGTTGTGTATTGCCTTGTGAGGCTGCATAATGTTACGAGCTATTGCAATTAGCCCAATACACAACTCATACAAAGCAAGAGAGCCTTACAATAGGATAGCTGAGCAAGAAATTTATAGAACGTATTTGTACAAAAGTTTTTTTTATTCGGTAATGTGTGACTTGATGTATTTCGTTGCTTGTACGTTATCTTAACTTTAAAGTGCATTACCGATTATTATGTAGAATATAGAGTGTTGTTTATTTCTCCCCGTGGTGGTGATCCTGCAGGGGGCTAAAGGGGGTCTTGTTGATGGTGTCGACGTGTTATTCTCGTTAAGGTGTTGGGAATAAACATCTGAATTTCGAGCAGTTGGTCTCTCTGTCGCTGCGGAATAAACCACGTGCAGCGCAGTAGCTCAGTGACAGACTCCATCCAGCTCAACAGTGACTTTGTGAGCATCGTAAAAACTTAGCTATATCGGTCACATGAGTTAAAAAGCATTACTTTACGTATGTTAAGAGTGAAAAAATACAGCACGAACTCCGAATCTTTTGTAAAACTAATATCGATATTTATTAGTGTTAGTAGCATTTTAAATAGGCTGAGTCATGTGGTAATCGTTACGTTAGAGGACGTAAACGCCCTTTTTCATGTTTTAAGTCACTATTTTATGGTTTTTTATGTACCTTGCGGTGTTTCCCGTAATTAGGGAATCCTGTATTATTTTGTAAAAAAAGTGCAGTCGTAATTTTCATGTTGAGGTTTCCTTTAATCGCAACGGTTCGATTGCAATGACTGCTTATTTCCGACGCCGTGGGTGTTCTGTATTTTCCCTTTAAATGTTTCCTGACTTAGCAACTGTTAAATGAAAGATAATTTGGCGTGAGTTTTCGGTTCTTGTTACCGTACTGATATCAACATGTGGCAGCCTGCCGTGTCTGACCGTTCTCAGCTAGTAACCACTAAAACTAGTTTCATTACTACAAAACGTGGTGTAATTTAAGATGTTTAACATACCTGTGTTTCGATTTAAAAAGCTATTTTTCGTTCTTATGCATGATAAACAAACTCCAAGTAACATGTAAATTAAAGGAGTGGTATTTTCCGAGTCGACTGCTGATTTACAACGTGGAAACAGTGGTTATTGAATATTTATTGGCGGCGTTAAAAATCTCCCAGTTCAACGACGGTTGACTGCAGACAGCCTCGGGCCACAGAACAAAGGGCGCAGTGGCAGGCAGTCCGCTCTGATAGACGCTCTTTTCTAATGCTAACAAGGTACAGCAAAGAAAGGACGAAGAGGGGGAAAACTCGATTATCGCCTAACACACTTTCTCACACTTAGCTTGCATTAATCTAAGGTGTTGCTATATAATTATATTTAAGTGTATGTAAACGAACTGACTATTGGGCTGGTGCTTACGTTGTCTCAATAATGTACATTGATAATATACGTACATTCATTCATCCTTCCACTCTTAATTATTTGGTCCGCTTTTCTTGCGGTCGCGGAACATGTATATTGTGAATGTTATAATTTTATGACGTATTGGGCTGCACCCTTTGCGAAATGCCAGGTGTGGTGTGCTGTTTTTCTACTGTTCTAACAGACGACTCTTGACTGCAGGTTAAAGTGAAATAAACAGGTAATAAACGAGGAAAGAAAACAGCCTGTACCTACTGCCATATATTTATCCCCCAACACCACCACTTTACAGACACAGGTGGAAGCAATGTCTGTAGAGCAGACACTACCAGCAATGTTTTAACTATTTTTATAGAAAAGTTTTTTGTAGCATCGTTGGGTGAGTAATGGTTAAGTATAGGTTGAAAATTATGAGAGAACCTCAGCTGTAATTCATATGTAAGGATAAAGAGATATCAGCAGAGGACGTAACGGCACATCCTTGGTAATTTGATCATAATGATCATATTACAAGGCATCATACCACAGTTTGACAGTTCAGTAATAGTATACTCAGTATGGAATTCTAACGAATGTCATGGGGAAATCTTGGTATACCACTGACAGTGACTGTGCATTGTGTGTGTCTGTGGTCATCTGCAGTATTCAGAGGCCAGCTGTAGATGACAATTCAAACAGTTGTCAAGTGATTTTTTTAGGTTGCTCCCACCTTTCTTCTTCCTTGGTATTCCATAGCCTAGGTAGTAAAATAAGACACTCAATACTTAGTAGTTCCATTCATGACAGATGTTACAAGGTACACGATTTTCCACACATTTATGCAGAATAAGTCTGCTTTTCTCTGCCTATAATGTTCTTTCAACACATATAAAGGCTCTGATTTCTCTTTTCCGATTTCAGGCACGTCCTGATGGTGCTGTCCTGGTGCCCCAGCGGCCATGACACCCTCACCTATCTGCCACCAGTGCTGGGCTGCACTGTTGAGCCACGCTGCTCGTCTCAGGCCTGGTGTCCTTTGAGGTTGGAGGCTGTACCAGATCATGTGCCACAGTGTTCCTAGTGGCGCTGAGCCCCATCATACTGCCGCAGGGTCCAGCCCAGCACGAGCAGCACCCACTGACAGCAGGGTGCCCACAGGGCATGCATCATCAGGTGAAAAGGAGAGGTGTGGTGTGGAGAGTACCAGCTTCTTGCTAAAGGTCATCAGAGCACACAAGTAGCACTCAGGGTTTCCTGTCAGGAGAGCGGAGAAGACTCTCATAATCGGACAGCTTTTTCCACTGGACTTTATTTACCTTGTTAATCAGAGACAATAGACTGATACAACTACTCAGACATTCGTCCATCATTGTTTGCTTCTTCTCCAAGGTGAAGAAAGTGGTCATGAGGAAATCAAGGGGAAACAACCCGGAGGAGGGACCCCCACACTCACAGGACATTTACGACTTCTCCCTGGAGGGAGACGAGCCCAAAATTTTCTTGCGGGGAGGCGGTGGGACGGTCTCTCCCCTGGTGGAGTACATCCGAGCTGAACACCAGCACTATGCTGCCTTCCCTGCCCTCACAGCTGGGCTGGGGCTGTTCGCCGGTACCCCCGAGTCCCCTGGGACGGCCGACTCCTCTTCACAGAAGAAGAAGCGCAAAAGGTGTGGGGTGTGCATCCCATGCCTCCGCCGAGAAAACTGTGGTAGCTGTACCAACTGCTTCAATCGCAAGACCGGCCACCAGATCTGCAAGCTGCGCAAATGCATCGAGCTGAAGAAGAAGAAAGGCAGTTGGTCATCTTTGGTGAGTGTACGAACATTGTCAATCTTGTTTCTCCTGCTGGTACATTTTCTTTATCGGCAAGGGGATGCCTTCAAGAGCTCTTATTCTGTCTGGATGTACTTGGGAATTGATTTAATTTCTTTGCCTTTGGTCATTCTTTGCACTTTACACCGCCACATTTTAAGTTGTACTTATTGCGTATGTTTGTGCTTTTGTTGCTCCTGACTCTACTCCCATGATGGACTATATTTACACTCTGTTGATTTCTACTCGTTGCCACTATGACTGTTCTAGGTTTTCTGTACTTTACTTTATTCTCTACTCTTACCCTGCACCACTCCCCCTCTCCTGGGTGACTCCTTTTTCTAGCTGGGGGAAGTGGCCTCTCAATATTTATAGCTGGGTCCTCTGCAGCTTCCTGAGGCTGTTAATGAAGTGTGTTGGGCAACAGAAGATCTATGTTCAGGAGAGAACAGCCCAAGCCATTTTGAGTACCCCAAGCTATATTGGGGTCTAAAAAGTCAAAGGTCATGCATGCCAATAACCTGTTCAGATGATCTGATTTTCCTGAGAAACAAATGGCTCAATGCTAGGAGTACATGCACTTTGTCATAAGGTGTAGATACAGTACATGCTAGAAATGCACAATGCTAATGTATTTCTGGTAATAATTTAGAAGGATTGGCCAAAGAATATTTGTGTATACTTTCCTCTTTTTTAGTGAGTGATCTGGGATTTCCAATTTACAACAATCTAGGTTATCTAGGTTATTTAAGATTTCCACATGATTAAAGAAAAACCTGAAACTTGGTACTCTCCCTGCTTCTAGTCTGGATCTTTGAACTAACACAAGTTGGATGTTTGTCCCTCAGATCTCCCCATTCCTACAGCTGAAAGCTGAAAATGGGTGTAATGGTGAGAACCACATATGTTTATCTTTACCTTCCTTTTGTTTTTCCAAGGGGGAAGGGTAGTAGGTCAGCCGGTCTAAAAACATCACAAACCATGCTGCCTGTTTCTTTCTCCTGTCAGTCATGGCTAGGTGAACCAATGGAGAATTTGCCTTGCCATTGATGGAACTCCTACACAATCTGGTCCCTCCCTTCCCCCCATAAATGCTTCTACTTGTTGGAAGACAGAGTTATGGAGTGACCAGCACATGGCGTACAGGGTGGGAAACCTTTGCAGTTGAGGGCACTTAAGCTCACAGAGAGGTTGTGAAGGGAATCCAGTTGGGATTTGTCAGATGGATTTTCCAGGATGCAAGGAAATGAATCTCTAAAGTGCAGGAATTTGTAATGGGGGCAGGAAAGAGAAGGAGCAATGGCAACAGAATAAAGAGAAGTGCCTGCCAGAAATAACCAGACCAAAGAATGAGAAAGATGACACAATAGAGAGAACGTAACAATCAAGAGAGCAGCATGAAAAGTCGATGAACTAACATCTTGACAAAGTATCCTACTTCATAATAAAGTTATACTAGTTGTGTAGGCAGTTTCCTTCTTGATCACAAAGTTGATATTTCATAACCATGTGCATTACCGCAACAAGACTTTTTTACTCAGCCTTTAATGTAGTTACTAGATAGCACTTGTATGATGTCTGTGTGACCCAAACCTTTCAAGAATATAAAACACCTGCTTCTTAAGTTCATCAGACAAACAGACACAGCAAAGTGGTTGCTACACCCTGGAAAAGTTTAAAAGAATTCTATAAAACATCAATGAGAAGGACACAAAAGGAGGCACAACAGACTGATAAACAATAATTAATCAAGCACATTTATTTATAGGGTCTTATGCAGACTAAAGGTAAGACCCAAGCAATAACATCAAGTGTTTAATGGAGCTATAGTATACACTTGAAACTGAAAGAATTAAAAAATAAAACTGAAAGATTAAAGCATTTTTATTGTGCTTTAATGCACACACAAACATCATCATCTCTTCCAAGACAAATATTGAAAGTAATTCAATATTGCTTATGATTGCTTATGAGAAAAGATTTGTCCTATATTCTAAATTAGGCAACATTTTGAGAACGTATCAGAAGTTTTTTATCCTTATTATCTCTGATAAGCCATAATGAAGAGGTGATGCAGAAAGCTTGTCTCGTTACCGTGATCAAACCAAAACCACCAGACAATGGGAATTTTAAAGTGTAACAAATTCCTGAAAACATTTCCGTTTTGATTATAAAGTTTGTTTATACACAGTACCTCTCAAGTTTTCTCAGTACTTTAAAGCTGAATGTGTTCTGTCTTGTGTATCTGCCTGTCTCTATAGTGAAGATCTTGCCATCCATTTGCAGTTTGTGCCTTTAATAGGACATGGTTTCTCTTATAGTATTAAGAGTTTCTAGTATCGTTATGAAATTAATAACTAACCAATTATATTCTGTTATGGAATGAAATAGTTGGTTACATCAGAATTCCTCAATGGGATAAACTGGAATACAATGCTTTTTATTGAGTTAATCTATTTATCTCTTATTATTTTACCAAGCTAGATACTGTGCAGCTCAGTGACAGTCATGCTTCATTGTGTGTGTTTATCATTCTTCAGAGATGGATTTGAAATGAAGGCTGATTGTCACTAATGAAGGAAACAGAAAAACAATATTTAAAGCAGATGGTTAGTGAAAGGGTTAAGGCAGCGAGCAATGTGTGGCTTGTTTAAAACGTGTATTACGTGTTTTCAAAACCCACCCAGTGAGGAAGATGTCTCGTGTCTGTGTGTGTCTGGAGGCTGGTTTTTTACTGACCTAGCTTTGGCCTTCTCTTCATGGCACCAAAATTGCCAATTAATAATGTATGAGGAGCAAGATAATGGAAAAGAGAAGGCAGATGGAATGAGGGGAAAGAGAAATTCTGGTGGCATTAGAACCTTTCCCCTGGGAGCTTTAGAACCCTCGATCCCAGGAGCAGGACACTATGCAGAGGGATGGGTGCCGTAGAACCATTTTTCTCCTGGGAGTTTCCATAAAAAAAAAAATCAAGATTAAAATGTGGTTGTGCAATTATACCATATTCCAAAACATCCGCATATTTTCAGTACTGAAAATATGTTAGTCAGATCTGCTAATTTACTAGAATTCAGACAATAAAAAAGGATCCAGGTTGCCCTACCAGCTTAGGGGGATAGCCAAGATTGGAATGGATTGTTTTTGAAAATCAGTGGACAAGCATAACCTTCATGCAATATTTAAATAAACTGAATAATTAACTTCTCGTACCTGAACACAACATGCGTCGTGAGTTAAGCATTTCTTTTTTGCAATTTTGTGTTCAGTTTTGCTGGACAGTTTTCAGGCAGTTCATCCTGTCTGTGTTCCCTGAGTCCCAGGGGAGTGGGTCTCAGCTGCTGTCTTGGAGACCCCAGACAGCGGCACTGGACCTATTGTAGGAAACACAGTGAAAGAGAAAGAGAGAGAGAGGGAACGCCTGAGACAAAGACAGAGAGAGAAGGCAGCCAGAGCTCTTCTGTCTGTCTGTGAGAGCCTGTTCAATATTCAGCAATCATCAACCACGCTGGACTGGCAGCCGGCACTCCCTGTACTAGGGGAAATCCACGTGAGAACCAGCTGGGACACAGTCGCCAGGCAACAGCCTCTCTAGCCCAACGACAGGGACTTGCTCCCTGTGCCACAACACAGATAAAATTATCTCAGTGGACCACTCAGGACCAATTCCCCTTTGCTGCTGGCAGAGTGAGTCTATGACCCTCACCCACATTTCACCCACCTCACAGACATACTCCTGTCATTTTGGTTCATCTGCTTTGAACCTCTCATACACAAGTGCCTTCATTAATTGATTCCTGGTACACAATTTCTCCTTTAGGTGTGCATCATTATACTCATTTGACTGATCAGTAAAAGTTCCTTACATTTTTGTTGTCATTTATTATTTATAAGAAGCGTATCAACAATAGTTTGGATCACTGGTCTTTCTATAATGCAAAGTAATGGCACTAACACTGTTTTTAAAGTGATTAATTATTATTTAGTAATTATGATTCATAAATCTTAATCATGTTTTATGTAAGGCTAGAAAGAAACTATTAACTAGAATGTGATCTTTATGAAAATAATATTCTAAGGGACAGAAAAGATCTGTTACTTTGAACAGGCAACAAAAGCAATGGATACAAATAGAGAATAAGATATGCTATATTTAGATTTTCATAAGGATTTTGATGATATTCCTCATGATTAATGAATCAATGTCCTTAGACTAGGAATTGGTTAATAGAAAACAGAGGGTACAGGTGATGGGTAGGGTCTCAGTTTGTTTTGATGTAGTTAGTGGAGTACCCCAGGGATCTGTATTAGGATCACTGCTCTTCCTAACTTATATGAAAAGCTTTGATTCTGGTATAGTTAGAAAACTAGTTATGTTTGCAGATGATACCAAATTATGAAGATTATTATTAGCAAATGCTTTAGAACCTAATGAAATCAGGTATATAAAATAAAATCAGATATAGACAAATTCAGGATTAGGAAACCACCCTGCAAACAACATTCAGGGTAGACAAGTTTAGGGCATTGCATACAGGTAGCAATAATATAAACTACAAATAGAAAATGTTTGAAGAGGCTATTTATGAGAAGGATGTAGTTGTTTATGTAAACACATCATATTCATCTTGCAGACAATGTGGAGTAGCAATAAAAACTGTGAACAGAATTTTAGAATATACTATTAAGTTGAAATTGTGGAATTCAAAAAAAGGGATGCTATATAAAAATTTTACAATGCACTAGTAAGACCTCATTTAGAATATTGTATGTAATTTGGTCACCATATTATAAGAATGATATTGCTGCTTTAGAATCACAGAAAGTCGAAGAGCTAACATAAAGATTCATGGTGTCAAAGGAGTGTCCTACACTGACTGGCTAAAAGAACTGAACTTTTTTAGTCTTGAACAAAGAAGGGTAGAAGGCGACCTCTTTCAAGTCATCAAATAATTAATTAGATTGGCAAAGTAAATCCTGTGGACTTCTTCAGAACCAGCAAAGAAGAATGAGAAGACACAAGAGGAAAATCAGAAGACATGCATCTAAATGCATCTAATGCATTTAAAACTGATAACAGGATGCACATCTCTATGCAGAATATGGTTAATGGGGAATATGGGGAATATGGAAAGGACTACCCAGTCATGATGTTGAAGCTGACACTCTGACTTCATTCAAGAAACTGGATTAGACCAATTGCAAGGAATGAAAATTGTTAGATGTACTGAATGACTTCCCATTGCTTGCAACAGTTCTTGTCTTCTTAATAGACTTTACCTTCATCAGATATGTACCTGCCTGAGCAGTCATTTTGCTTCCAATTTACATTGGTGTGCATGTAATCATTGGATACTACTAATACTGTAAATTCATCATGTAGAAATAAAAAAGTTATGTTTTTCACTGTAGTTATCCGTGAAACTACTTAATTTGTCTGCCACAAAACTCTCCAGCACTCTCTTGTCACTGTTACACATACAGGTATAGCTTCTCCAGCTCACACCCCAAAGATTAGTGTAAGTGTAATTCACTCTGAGACCACATTATCTCTATCTCTAGTATTTCTGATCACCAATGGGGCAAGAAATGATCAGACGTTTCTAAAAATTATAAATTAAAATTAAAGAGATCAACAGGGGGGATTCTAGGGGGTCTGGATAATGCTGGAAAACCTGTAGTGAATGGATGGGCTGTCCATAATTGTGTTTTTAAATTTAAATTTCAGTAATTTTATTGCAACTGTTTTGTCTTTATACAACCGTTGCTTTAATTGTTTCTGCACCATCCCAGTACAGTATAATGATGATGTCAGTGCAGACCAATATTCCAAGTGTGTATTATGTAATTGAATGTAGCTGATGAGCTTTTGAGAAAATCACACCCTGTTTATGAAACTATGCTTGAGTTTACCAGGTTAGAACAGCACAACATTGTTATATCTGGCTGAGTGAAGCTTATAAGTCATAAACCATGAGAAACCAGGGGATACAGATTAAAAATGCAGTATAAGAAAAATAGAATGTGATGAGCAAACATATTTAGGGGATCTTGGTATCTTATTCTACTTTTACATTGATAAGACCCATGTTCCCTTCCCCCCAGCCAGGCATTACACACATTGTTGTGATAAAACTAATGGCAAGAATAGTGTTATAAAATTATGAAATTAGTATCATTACTATTTTTCTATCCCTTTGGCATGCTGGGTAAGAAAGCAGACCTTATTTTGTTAGGAATTAAAACACAATCTTCAGGACAGAGCACCCAGGTGTGCCCCATGTAAATCTCTAAAGCCGAGGCTATGGTTTGTGTTTTTTTAAGTGAGTGTGTGTGACAGAGGTGTTAGGGGGGGTGGAGCATTATAATTAAGGCCATTAATTCTGCTGTAATTACAACCACGCTTCCCTTTCACTCCTCCATTCACACAAGTGCAAATTTTTACAACTCATTATCAATGCAGCTTTAATGACCCCCTACTCTTTCTTTTTTACACTTGAGGGAAAGGGGAGCAGAGAGGGGAGCGCTGAGGTTAGTGTTGCGAGCAGGGGTTGGGGGTTGGCAAGAGCCAGGTTTTGGGGGAGGGGGGCTTGTGTGTACACACTAATCTGTGTCTGTGTGAGTGTGAATAGGGACCAGAGAACTGAATAACTCTGTAGGGTTTAAGGGTTTGAGATTTTTTTTTAAATAGACAATCCTTTTGTGATGCCCCAGTTTGGCAGGCATGCTGGTTGCAGTGTTTGTTAACCCTTTTCAGTAAGACGCTATGGTACACACGTGCTTACAGACGTTCACGCTATTCTGAGACTGTTAGAAATGGGGTGTAGCTCTGTTTAACTCACAAGCGAGGCACTTGACATGGTTTTTGTGTCAAAGAGCAATACCTTCATAAATTGTTGGTATTTTACTGTACACATTTTTGTAGGTGATGTTTGTGTGATGTTTGTAACCCATCCACTAGTACATGGATTCCATATCATTGCAGATGTAGCATCACTGTATGCATATGTATATACTTGTGCTCATCCCATTCTGCAGATGAATCCTACTGGGGGATCCTTGAAACTAAGATTCATTACTGTAACAAGTCTGTATGAGTCTTAGTACACATGTTTCATGCTCATTAACAAACTTGTGTAACGTAGCATGTTATTAACTATGCCAAATAACAATGATGTATAAATCTAATTTAAGAGGTTAGATTGAAACAGATAGAGAGAAAGGTGCCATTTAAACTGATTACCTGATTCTAATGTTTATGCTAGTTTGGAAGTGTTAGCTTGGTGGTGGAAGTTTTAGCATTGCTGCCTCACAGTGCTGGGGCCCCGGGTTCAATTCTTCGGGTGCTATCGATGTATGAGCTGGTATGTTATCCTCATATACACATGTTCCTCCAGATATTCTGATTTCCTTCCACAGTTCAAACACATACTGTATGGGTATTTGAATCGGCTTCTGGGAAAAACTGGCCTTAGTGTGAGTGTGTGCATGTTTGTATCTGTGTGCATCCTAAGATGGTCTGGCATCCTGTCCAGGGTGTGTCCTGCCTTGCTAACCTGGATAGGCTCTGGCTCCCCTGACAACTCTGTATTTGATAAAGTGCTTAGAAAATGGATGAATGGGTGTTAGTTTGAAAGTTTCTTTTTTAACCCAGTGTCTTTTCTGTTCTTTCATTTGTGAATGTGGCATAAGAGAATAGCACCTTATAGTGCAGTAAAGAACATCCTCACAGAGCACAGGAGAATCCAAAATACCTTCATTGAAAGAGATTGCAGACAGCCTGATAGGATAAAAAGAAGTTCTTCTGTTGTCTAAAAGAAGATTAGCTCTAATGAATATAAGTTTTTTTTTTCATTGGCTCTTCTTCTCTCTGTTTCAGTCTACATTAGAGGAGGAATCTCAACAGAAATTGGAACAAACAAGACCAAAGCAGCAAAGTCATGAGAGCAAACAGAGAGACCTGCAGCTGAACTGTGATTCCAACACCAATGAACTACAGCAGCTCCAGGTAATACAAACTGTACAGTGTGTGTGCTGTGGCCTATACTATTGGTATTAACAATGTATTACTTTGAATGCACATTGCTAAGTAGGCTGACGCTTAGGCTTAGTGGTAATACAATACATTTGCCTTATAAGGTCAGCCATTGGTCATCCAAGCACCTCCATTTTCCAAATGTAAACTTTCCAAAAATAAAGAGGCATCTCTTGGCCCACAATCATTCAGACCTCCATTTCAATGAATAAGAACATTTTACAGTATATGTTCCTTCAGTAGTTTTTACTAGGGAATGTTTGTCCTCTGGTGTATATATATGTGTCTCTGATAATTCTGCCAAGATTAACATTGTTAATGCCTTTGAAGATTTGGAATACTTTGATGGGGTCCCCTTATATTTTTTGCTGTTCAAGACTAAAAATGATCAGGTAACAAAAATGAGAGTTTCCAATGATGTTTCGAAATAAGATTGTTGAACAAAAATTTCTGCCATCTGACATCCAGTAATGAGCATTTTTCACAAAAATGCTGGTAAAACACACCAACTTAATGTTATTTTGATCATAATCTCATTTTATCTGGGAGCCTCTGCCTTTAGTTAATGTTAAAACTTTATACAAGTACTGTTTCTGCTGCTCCTATGACCAAAATGCTGCAGTTGCCAGACCCTCCAAAAACATAGTTACTGATACTTACAATGTTATTACACATATACATAAATTATTTTGCAAGTATATGTAACTACAAACTTTGAAATAACCATGATGATTGTGTAGTTGTAGTCAAAGAAATTATATGTTAATTTAAACTATGTACAGAACATTTTTATTATGTGTAAGTACACATGTAATTACTATGCATCTGTATAAAATGTAAATGTATAGTTAGTGTTACCACAGACTTGTTTTAGGTTTTAGACATGCTACTAAGAACCAACAGAACAATTCCTAACTAGAGCATCCAAGCATGTAAATAAAGGTGGTTTTCTGACATTAAGTAATGAAGTAAAGTAATAACAGTATTGCAATTTCCATCTTTATATTTCCACATTTACATTTTTAAAAACCATTCTGGAAAAATGTAGGTTTTCTTTTTGTTTCAGTCACCAATCACAGATTTGAATGGGGGAGTGAGAAGAATACATTCCTAAATCTGAGTCAGCCCCGGGATGGTTTGATAACTTTAAATGGCACCTTAGAAAAAAACATATAGACAGTTATAGTTACATCACTCTTTAGGGCTCTAAATGGTGCTGAGGCTTTTGTGTGCCAGGAAACTGGCCATTTGCTGCAGTGAGTTTGTCTGATGCTTGTGAGAGCTGTGCAGAATCACAGCTCAGCTCAGCTCAGAGTTGTCTAAGAGATGAAATTTGAATTTCGATACAAACGCACATTCTACATTAGAATGAGTATACTAGACGGAAGCTGGTGGCACATGTTAACATAAGATAAACTATGACAAAATAAATAGTCATATTGTATGGCATAGCAATAGGAAAGTTGTAAAACTATGGTGCAGTTTTACAATGGCAAACTGTATGACAGTGAAGCAGACCAGAGAGTCTTCTAAAATCTAAAATCAGACTCAAAAAGCATCTCCCATCAGCCTGAATGTAAGGGGACCAGAAAACTCTATTTTCACTGGATTACAGGCTTACTGGGAGCTGTTGGGGTCTAAATGTAGAGTTAAAAGTTCCTCTTCTCACCCTGTGCTCTTCTCTCTTTAGCTTCTCCTTTACCCTTCCCCCACATCTCTGCTCCTTCTGTGTTCTCCTCTCACTAAATCTGGCCTGCTATCACTGTTCTTTTTCTTTACCAAGATTCCATCTCCTCTTGCTACACCCTCTCTGTTTCCTCTCATTGCATCCTCATGTAACAGAATGTTCTGTTTCCTCCTCTTCATCCTCCTTGGTATCTGCGTATTAATCAGCCTCTTCTTTAGGGCAGGAACGCTGCTAAAACAGGCCCTTGGCAGAGCAGTAGAACATCTGACTCATCTTATAACCTGCTCTTCCTGTACAAAGTGACTGGTTAAGTTCTACATGTGGGTACCTTCTTTGAGAGCGTGATCTGGCATTCGGTTCAGAGGATTTCCTTGCTGTTCAAACCATCATTGTGAAAAGAGTCTCCAGTAAACCCATCATAACTGCTGTGTTATAAAGAGTTGGACAGGAGATTTGTAGGGATTTGTTAATGATGAAAAAGATTTGTTAAAGAAAAGTTGGCTAAATGTCTTATGAATAGCTGCAGATATTGTTGATAATAATAATTACTTACAAAATATTTGTTCTGTGTCATCTTTTAGATATAAATTATTGTAGAATGAATTTCAAGGGCATTTGTGTCAATCTGCATAAAAGTTTCTGACTATATATTGACAAAGACTAAAAACCTATCCAAAAGGATTCTGTTTAAATCAGCAATGAACAAAATACTTCTTGCTTTATCAGATTATTTATGCTCTATTCACATTTTGCAGGTAATTCCAGTCTGATTTGACCTCACTGACATTTTAAACACAAGGTCATTTACATTTAAGAGTGCTGCCTTTCACGTTTCTCAGAGTTTCAGAGAATATTGTTGAGGTACTTTCTGATAGATCGATAAGAACAGGTTTGGCAGCAGAGTTCAGTTTTGTTTGTGGGCTCTTTTTTAGAGCCATTACATGCCCAATGCCTGGTTTAACTATTGCAACTAAACCTTACCCAGCCTCTAGCTCTCATTCGTATCCTAAATTGTACAATCTAAAGCCATAGAGGTTTGGAGGTGGAACCACAGTTCACTACCAACCACAGTTCACAACTCTTCACTACCTAACTAATTATTTCCATAACTGGGACAAGTAACTCATTTCCAAGATCCTAGACAAAGTGGGTAAGTAAAAGGTCCTGTGATCAGATCAGGGTCAAGCCATGACAGTCTTTGATTCACTCTGTGTTAGCTTGGGGCAAATTTAAGTCTAGCTTTAAAAGTAACAGCATCTATCATCAGGACTAACCCTAAGCAGTGGTTCCTGTGCTGACAAGAATATGGTGAGTCCTAGTGTTTATTGGGTGGGTCTGGAGATGGACAGAACACAGGCAAAGCGTATTTGAACAGACAAATTAATCTGCTGTGAGCTGTGACCACAGGCGGAGTCTCACTGTTAGGTTGACATTCTTTGAGGAGTCTTAAACTCGCACATTCTTCCTCACACATGGAAAAGCTCGACCGAGAATATAAGTCAATTGAGGACACACTCTCAGACAAACACACAGGCTTTGGCTTGTTGAGTTGAGATAGAAGCTTTGCAAGTGCTTTTTTCTCCATTATCCTCCTTCTTGGCTAATTGAATGTGTATATAACATAAATATAATTCATGTTGATCAGAAAACAGTGGAAAAAGGCAACCTGATAAGATAACTTAAGGGGGAAAAATGCAAAATCTTTTTAGATATGATTCTTTAATTTATTTCGAGCTGTGCATGTTTGGGTACATTTGATCTGTAAAGGGTACATTATTACTATTAATGTTTAACTGTCCAGTGGCATTCCACTCAAATGTAAATGTGTGTGTTTGTACATCTGTCTGTTTGCCAATTTTATATTATGTATATAAGTGTAAGCTGTGTGTATGTGCTGTTTTGCCTTGCCATGTGCCAAGATCTGTGTGATTGTTTCTAAGAACACCATAGCAGCTCTTTTCCAGATACCTCTTGCTCACAGTTGCTAAGCAGTTAGGCTTCCTTAACAACCGCCGGGTTTCACAAACAGAGCAGCCACTTTGCAGCCACACGCACTCACGTGTCGCCGTGGGATACCGCGGCGCAGACCCTTAACCCTGTCAGAGCCTCACTAATCGAGGCTGTAGGCAGCAGGCCTGCGACAATTCTACAGATAACATGCACAAATCAACCAGGCTGTCCTAACTAATTTTTAATTTTAGGGCATGTCTGAATGCAACTGTCCATACATTTAGTTATAGTTTGCAGCTGAATAGTAGGCTGCCTATATGGAAATTTACTTCAATAAATACACTGCTTTTTCTGTGGATTTCCTGTACTGTTACTGCAGATTTATGTATGCAGTAATCACATTTCCTTTAACAACTTCCATTGTTTACTACCTTTTTACCAAGAATGAATAACCTTCGTCAAAGTTTTGCTGTGATTTACTGCATTAAACTATGATAATACTATGAATTCTGTTAATCGGCTTGTAGTAAGCTTGTAAACACTCTGTTGCTTCCATATTGCAAAAGCATTCCAGCTCATTTTTATTGCCTTTGAGTAGTTCACTCCTAGATATTTCTACACATATGTAAATGATAACCAGTACAGTAGGAGGTCAGGTGGGTAGAGGAAAGTTTGAAAGCACCCAGACACAGCTTCATTAAACATGGAGAAGCAGAACACCCACAAATTCACTGTTCAGGTCTGTGATCCAATGCTCTGCAAGAGTTCTTCTTAACCACACTGTAGAAGAAAGTGTTTGCAACAGTAAGCTCAGATATTTTCTGACCTTCCACTGACTTCTAAACCACAAATGGAATTTGTTATTTGTGTGGCTTTTCTAGAGGTTGTTTTTGGCTGTTTGTTCACAGCGATTGTGTGAGGTTTTTGGAATGCAGCTGCTTACTGTATCCAGTGTAAGTAAGGGAACTGGCCATGCCCTTTTTAGCCTCTATTATGTACTCATCAGTCACAGACTAAATAATATTTAGCCTCTCCTCCATACCAAAGTAAAACATTTCTTTCTTTAATTCTGGCATAATTACTTTTGCCAATAACCCCACTTTATAAGTGTTTAGTGATAAATATGGTGGCTGTGTTTTGTTGCTGTCTTTTACAGCTTAGCAGTAAGATTAAGAACTCAGAAGTAAACAATTTCCATGAAAAGTGGGATAGCAGGGAGGTCACAAATGCTAAGGAAAAATCATACCCTTATTATCGGAGTATTAAAATGTTTGCTTTGTTAGCATTGCAGTTCTGCTTTGAAGAGAATCACAAAATGGTTATTGTATAGATGTGTTAGATCTCATCTCTAAGCCTGCAGGGTAGTGTTGAAGGAAGGGATTTTGAGCTCTTTTCTAAAATGCCACACGGGGGGACTGTCGGCCACTGTATCCTTAAAGCTTAGGTGAATTCTCCATTCCCACTTAATGGATAGTTAAATAATTGTAAAGCAGTGTAGTATCTTATGTTCCCTGGTTGACAGGTGTACATTTCAGAAGCTGCTCTCTGAGTAATTCTTCCCCAGCAGGAAACATCGACAACGTTTTTATTTTCATTGTGGACTAAAGTCAAAGACCAGAAGTTTTGATCCTAGTTTAACAAGACAACTTCCAATGCTTTTAGCTCCAGCACAAAAACCATTCTCATGTTTTGTGTTAGTTTCTTTTAGACAGTGGACAAACGTTGATGTTGAGTAAAAGAGCTGTGAAAATTCTGTTATCCCTTTAGTTTTTCTATGGCATTCTTCTAGGTGTATTGGCTGTGAACTATATCCTACAAGTTCAAAAGAAATTCTGTTTCGTGTTTTATTTTCTGACAGAGTTATATCATTTTATGACATTGAATTATGAATGTCCTGCTCTCTTTCACTTGTCAAATTCACATAGTCTCCTACAGATTGTTTTGATTTGAGTATTTGAATGTACAGATACAAGTACATTTCTGTAAGTCTCATGTCTGGCAGTTTTCAGGGAGGAGGATGAACACAAACATCTTTTTTTTTCTGCTGTCCATGCTTTAGGACAAAGTTTGTATCTTCCGCACTATTCATGAAATTTAAATTGCCGGTCTACAAATTCAATTGTAATAATGGCCGTTTTAAAGCTTATTTTCACAATTTCAAAATCAACTTTGGACAGGGTTTGAGCAGCTTTATTTGGCAATGTAAAAGAACACATCTATTGAATGAGAATGAGTCTTGCCATGTAATATAAAGCATTATCATGTTGTAAGGCTAGGAAATGCTTGGGTTGCGATAAAACTGCGGGAATTATGTCAAGTTTCAGATTGGTGTTAGCTGTGCGGTGAGAATTCCATTGACAGCAAGAAGCCAAGGGGGACATTAAAGCTGTCATCAATGTCCCCCTACTGCCCACCCCCACGTAGACCCAGAGTGCACCCAGTGAGACACAGGACCCATAACCATCAGAAAATACCACCTTCACTTAATCTATAAATAGCTGCTGTCTGTGTTCATACACAAATTACAGGTATCTAGTAACACTTGAGCCATGATATTACTATTTTAGGGGCACCTGATGAATTTAATTGGTTTCAGGGGTCTTCTGTGGCACAGTAGACAATTATGATAGCAACATTTGTCATTCCTAAGTAAAAGCAGTCCTTTTGATGATGCATCTAAATTTGATGTTTGGACCTGTGCACCACTGCATACAGTTGTGTCTGGGTTGGTCATAACTCTTTCATGTTAGTTGCAGTGCTTTTACAGTCTAATGACAGATTTGGAAGGAGCATTAATGATTTCATTAATGCCAGTTTCATTAACTGATTTCATTAATTGAATGCCAGTAACATTCTCAGAACGCATTCCTTCTTTTTCACTGACCCATGGAAGCACTGCAGTTAATTTACCACATATCACCTTTGCTCTTGAATAGCCCAAAAGCTCATGTAACAATATGGTCTCAGTACAGTCTTTTGTGTTGGTACTATTTACAAAACTTTTTTGGATCTGTCTTTTTCACTATTTCATTATAGACTTAAATAAGGAATACAAACCACAGTTCAATGGGATCTCTTGATATCTATTAGCTTTAGTTAAACAGCAAGCCCTTTACTATATGCTCCAGTGTGGAGACAAAGTTCTAATATTGGCTTAACAAGACAACTTCCAATGCTTTTAGCTCCAGCACAAAAACCATTCTCATCTTTTGTGTTACAGTTTCTTTTAGACAGTGGACAAAGGTTGATGTTGACCTTATGAATGCTGTAATTCATGAAAAAATTACAATGTTGTGCTATTCCCTGCATTAAATATGTAGGGATTTGGTTGCAAAATGTATCCGAAAAAAATATTTAAATTTTGTCTGTGTTTATCCTGCGTAAAATGTAACTTGAATTGAGAAACATCCTTAATATTGAAAGTGAATTGGTAGTTTCCACATACATAGAAGGTAATGTGTACATGTTTTTGTGTAGTTCCAGTCCATGTTTTTCAGCCAGCCCTCTCACAGATGGCTCTTAGTGATACCACATACCAGAGATATTGTTTAGGGAAGCTAGGCTACGGAAGATAATTGTCAGGCAGAGGGAGAAAAACCCTTCCCCCTCCTCTCCCTCTCCTCTCTTTTACTCTGCCTCTCCCTCCTCTGTCTGCCTCTCTCCCTCTCTTACAGACGTACATGCACACTTGCACCATCTCCACCCCCCACTCTCAGAGTTCCTCTCCCTCTCTTTAATTTGCCTTAGCAGCAAGATGCAGCCTGACTGTCGATTGGTGGTTCAGGCCCTTTGTGCACTATCTGTAGCGTGACGCTGTAGCAAAGGCAGTTGGGGCCGTATTCACATCACGTATCCAGTTTGCTTTGCTTATAGGAAGAAAGGGGGGAGGGGTGGAGAGAAAGAAAAAGAGAGAGAGAAGTGGGAGGGCGTTCTGTAGTATGATAGCAATAGGAGAGTCTGGCATTTAAAAAAAAAAAACTGTAGTAGTCTATTAGTGTAGGAGCGAGCCCTAGTGTACTGCGAATGTAACATGGATTAAAAGACAGGCAAGATGGCTTCCTGAATGGGAAAACAGAGGCAGAGGGAGAGACGAGAGAAAGGCTCAGAGCTTGGCTTCTGATGGGGATAACAGAGCCTGACGAAGTACAGAAGAAGGAAGCTTGGCTTAGTAGGTAAATATAGATAAATGCACAGGGTTTCGGGAAAGACTTAGGCTGGCAGTGCTTTTTTAACAACAGGAGGGGGCTGGAACAAAACACACCCAGCGAACAGAACTGGGATACAGGGATATAGTTTTAAGGGCAACCCCTATAGATGACGGTGATGATGATGATGATTTGTTACTACCTTTAGATAAATGAACATAGTTTATTTTCTTTGTAGATGAACAAGCACATGTGAAAATCAGCCATTTAAAAATATTCAAAGCAAGGATATAGAACACCAAATAATATTCTTTGCAAAAATATGTAATAAAACACACGTAAAACACATTGAAGAAAATGGTGTACAGTGGGTACGATGCTGGTTCTGGTGGCTGATGCTTAACAAAAAGAAAAAAGAGAAAATCATGCAAACAGAGCAGGTTAAAAGGAACCAGACAGCTGATTTCTCTAGTTTTCCCTTCCTAGGTAATGTGAATGGTTGTACTGTGCCTTCTTGAGAGGGGCTTGTCGCATTCTTCTATTGATTGTTATTCTCTCCCTCCCCCTCTCTCTGTCTCTCTCTGTCTTTTTTCTTTTCCCCCTCGCTAATACACTGGCCGTGAAGGTGGGATTTAAGGACAATAATAAAGCCCAGACCAGGACCCCAGCACTGGCGGCAGAGGTAAGAGACCCCATCTGGGGTTGAAAAAGTCAGGTTGAGAGGACATGAGGGAGAAGGGGAAAGGAAAGGGGAGGGCAGATGTGTCTTTGGTTTGGTCTGGTGGGAAATGTACTTGAGAGGAAGATCATCCCAATTATTCTTGGTTCCCAAGTCTATATAGTAAATAACATACAGGGCAGCAGCAAAATATTGAATTTTTTTCAATTTGAATTGTTGTTTGCATAATGGAACCATTTTGTAAATACTGGCCAGAAGCGACATATATTTGTTTTTTGTGTTTGCATAGCTTTGTGTTCATGTCCGAGGCTTTCTGTATGCCTTTGTTTGTATATGGTCACGTGTGGAGGTGTACAATTCACTCTCAGGTGCCATGAAGAGTGTTGATGCCTAGATACATTTTCTTACCTGGCAGTATGTATATTAAAGCCCTTGAATCTAAAAACATGGCAGAGATAGCTTTCCTCTTCCAGAGTGGAATAAACTGAGATTTTGCGTGAACCAGTTTGGGTATATTTAGGCGTGCTGTGTGCTGTGGACTCAAAAGCACTTTGCTCTACGTCTCCTTGCTATAATCCTACTGTATGAAAAACCTTAGTGATCTTTTCAGTCTAGGCAGTCGCAATGTTTTGATTTCAAGCTCTTGACCGCGGCCGCCGTAGCTTTTCAACGCCAGTTTCCCAGTCTATCTGCTTTCTTTTCATGATTTTTGGGTGTACTTTTACTGTCGGCATTTTTAAACTTGCCGGGTCCGCTGTCGCACTAGCGGGTGGAGCTGCCTGGCACGTGCTTTTGGTTGAGGAGGTTTGATGAAGTTTTGATGTCACTTGAGGTAAAGAGGACAAAGTTAGTCGGCCACACGCGCATGCGTTTGTTGACACGTGTGTATGTGCGCGCGCTTTTCAAGAGTTGAGGAGTGGGCATCAAGCCTTTACTTATACAGCTGTTTTGCTGGTGTTATGGTGACACAGCAGCTTCACCCATTGGATTATGTAACACAAAATTTAGCATTTATTTTTTCATTACTGATATCTCTGGTACTGAAATGGTGAAGGTCAGGGAGATGTAGCTGTGGATTACTGTGCTATGCAGTGCAGGGCAGATAGCTCGTTGGATTTGGGCCCATTGTGAAGACCAGAATTTGAAAAAATAATTTCTTCATTCAAGGAGGACTTGTTTGGCTCAGATATTTTGTTTTAACAAGCAACGGTATTATAATCTTATGTATTTTTCTATTTTTGTGAGATCCCGAGGTGAACCCAAGGAGAGTCCTTTGTGTAAGATCATAATGAAGGTTTTTATCAAATGGTTAGTACAATGGGTGCAGTCACAGTACATCCGAGTACCCGTTTATTATTGTGTTCATTATTCTGTTTTGTTATTTTACAGGTTACTTCTTTAATGTATTTTATTTTTTAGTTATTTGTCATTGTAGACTCTTCTAAAAGGTGATAAGACAACACCATTGTCAGAGATTATAAAGAGCTGTCTAAATGACTTGGAAGATTCTGTTAGTGACACTATGAGATCTGTGTGCATTTTAATTTGAACTCTTGGTTAACACTTGTATAATGGAGCTACTACTTCCTTTGTACATCTGTTTGAGCCATTCTGTGATTTATTAGTGTCACGTAGTGTGTAGAACCCAGCGATAGGATAAATATTTCAGAGATGGAGTTAAAATAACATGAAAGATAATTAGCAATTTGTAAGACCACTGTATTATCAAGAAGCTTGAAAATCATGTAATGGAACTAACTACCTCTGTGCAAAGAGAGTGTGATTTCTATCCCTTAAAGGTGCTCAAAGTTTAATCTGCTTGTACTCTGCATCCAGTGGTATTATTTGCTTATGCAGTATTTTCTATCCTAAATAGACTAGCATTCCATATCAGAGCTGATATACAATTTGGCCTCCAGAAAAAAAAACTTAAACAAGGTGCGAGAACAGTTTAATTTCATCTAAAGAATGCTAGACATGGAAGTAATGACTGTACAATTCGTTGGCAGGTCTTATTAATTTTTACAATAAATTATTCAATTTTATCAATCAACAAAGATAAAGAGAAATCATACATTTAATTTCGCTCCACAGATTTTTCTTTTATCTTGCCTAATTGCAAGAAAAATAGCTTACTGAGATACTGAGATTGTTAGCCTTCTTCAAAGAGAAAGATCAAGACATAGAAGAGAGAAGCAGAGAACACAATGTGTACAGAAAAAGTACATTGCTCTTGTTGCACTATATGAGTTGAAATCACAAAGGATTTCAAAGCTCTTTAAACATAGATGACGACCCACTTCATCCACCTCTGGAATGCAGTACCCACCTTGGTGACACACAATGGCTATTATGCACCAGCAGTCCCAGCTCACAGCAGTTTAGACAGAGAAATTGTAATTGCTTCATCAGTTAAAATAAAGGAAAATGTTAGGAAAGCTAGATTGCACAAATGCAGAGTGGACTTTAGACCGAATACTAGAGTTAATATGTTTTTGAAAAAGTACTATGGATTCTCATCCAAAGGATACCACATACTACAGAATAGTATCTCCTGTCACCATGCTGGATCCTGGATTTCTTTGGAGGTTACCCATCTCAGTAAGGCCTGACCAGGCTCAAACTTCCATAGCTTCTGAGCTTTTAGGGAGTTTCTGGCTGGTAAGATGATATTCTAACCCTAAAAATAGAGAAGTTAGATAATGTTATGACTACCTTTGATATCTGCTTTCCATGGTAGAGTTGCATAGTTACTTTGGACTTTTGTAATGGTTCCATTAAGATTTCACAGTGTTCCTAATATAATGCACTATATATAATACTGTAATTTAACTATAAACCTTTACAAGAATATACAGTGAGAAAAATAGATGGATGTGTTCAATTTTCTAATCATTTTGATTACACAACCTGGTCATTCACTGTGTCAACCGTACAGAGAAGAATGGATTAAATATGACCTACTTTCCATGGGAACAGTGAGTGACAGATGACATCATTGTTGTAATCATGGCTCAGTCACACTCCTACAACAACTGAGCAGTGTACCCCTGTGACTCACTGAAAGAGTGAGGAGAGAGGGGTCAGAGGTCAGGGCATGCATGTGCGGAAGCCCAGAATGGGGGTGGGTAAACACAATTTCACACCATGCGCCCCAACAAGTATTGGGACTCCTCAACACGTGCCCCGTGAAAGAGAGCCACAGGATTCACAAACGAACTTTGAAAAATGTAAAGTAGAAGAAAAAACCAGACATCTTTTGCATTGCTACTTAAAGTTTTTATGTAAACAAAAACTACGGTGCAAATGTAAAATTCCTAAGAGATTTCCTACAACTTGATTATTTAAAAATTAATTTACAATAACAATATAATATTTTACATATTGTCCATCATCTTTTGTTACTAAGCAGTCTAGGACATCAGTATGTGTGTCAGGTAGCTGCTCAGGAACAGCCTGAAATTATGGGCCACCTTCAGAGAAAAAGAAAGAGTAAAAGAGAGAAAAAGAAATCAATACAGAAGCAGTAGCTTGTTGTAATTGGGCTGTATGACACTGTTACTAAGAGGTAGACAGGGAGAAAGCCTATTTCAGGTGCCCACGAGCATAAACAGTTTAGCACTCTACAGTACAACAACAGTGATGACCACAGAGGAATGACGCAGCAATTGACTCATGAATTACATAGGCACTTGTCCAACAGTGTCTGACTCATCTCCTGTATTGAGCCTTAATTTAAACCTATTCAGGAATGCTAAGACAGTTCAGAACTTTTCATTTTCCCAAATTCTTAATACATTCTTCCATTTTACAGTTTCTTTTAGTTTAGCTTCTTCAGTGTTTTTTGTTAATTTTACCATTACAAATTTGAGATCATTGGTAACTAATTTCACCCGAATTTACACTGGACATGAATGAAAAAGTAACATGACAACAGATCCCTTGCTGGTCTTTTGACTTGACCAGATCATCTTTCTCACTCTGACAAAATACAGATACAAAAGAGCGGATATACCTGTTTCAAAGAAGTGAACAGAGGAGTGTTATCAAAGACAAACTGCCACCTTTTTAGCAAAATTTGACTTTGGATGAAGCAGGTGACAGTTTCCACCATCTGGACTTGGTCATGTAAAAAACAGGTCAGTGTTACTCCATTAAGCACATCCAGCTGTCAGTACAAAGAACCCCGGTGTAGTGCATTGTGACCAAGCTGAGAAGATGAAGCCCCACCTAGATTAGTCTGCTAATTGAGGTGCGGTCAATTAGAACCCAACCATTTTAAAGCACCATTTTTTCTGAGAAGGTTAATTGCAAAGAACAACAAAAGTAATTGTAGGGCCTAAAGACAAATAACATTGTGAAATAAGTGATGGATATCACTGAAATTTGTAGCGTTTACTAGAATGTTTCAAAGGTGTCTGCTAATGAATTATTGATAGTGGTTAAGATAGCTATGAAACTAGTGTATGCACTTTGGTGAAAATCACCATGTATATACTTCGCTTTGGTAAAATCGGAGTTGTATGTGGAAGATGAAAGGCACAGAGCACAAGTAGGGATGACTGTTACCAATTAATAAGTTATATAGTACTTTTCAGACCTAAGGATCCCGACATTCTTTTTATACAGGAGGGAACACACTTCACCTATCAATGAAGTGTAACACCCACCTGTCTGGGGTTCCTTTAAAGAAGGTAGTGGAGATGAAAAAATAAAACAAAAGAAGCAGCAGTTCTGATTAAAAATTAATGGCTTTGCCTTTAAATAAAACAAGAGCTGTTCTTAGAATGGAAAGTTTAGAGTAGGGAAATACAGGCTGCGATTCAGAGGGCTGTTAATTATGGAGTAGAGCACAGAACCAAACCCCCTATTTTGTAATGAAATAGTACTGTCCTAGGTCCTTCCTCTTAAGTTATTGGTATCACATGATTACTAATACTTAACATCTTAAGGGACCGGAATCTGGTTTGATTACTCTGTCGATGCTTTACCTCATAGGCCTG